ATTCCTTTGAAAGAAATGGAAAATGTAATTGATTTTTTTCACATTCCATTCGCTGGAATTGCAAGAGTACTTTGGTTTTTTGAATTACTCAAAGGAATTGTAAAAGTAATTGAGAAACTGAAAAATCATGTGGAATGTAGAATAAAGCATGCGCCCCTACAGCGGGGTACCAAATAACAATAAACAGTTTCTGAGACGAAATTTTGTTTATTATTATAATGAGCGGAAATAACTAGCTAAGGATTCACGCTGCTAATTTCTTTCTTGCAGTGTAGCTAGAGTAAACTGTCAATCTTTTAATTTTCGCATATTCGGTCTTTGAGTTTATGATTACCAGTTTTCAAAACGAAACTCGGAATTGAAGAGACTGGAAACGTTTGAGCTGTTAAACATTTTTGAGTGACTAAATTTTTTTTCAATCTATTACTTGAGATCATTTTGTCTAGCTACATTTCAACTTACATGGTTAAAAATTTCGGTTTTGATTTTAAACTTTTTGCACTACATATATGACCAAACTAAATTTAGTTTCAAAACAAACCTTCCAAGTTAAAAAAAGAGCACATATGTTGGGTTTAGATTTTCAACCACATTTTCTATATATGAAGCCTTGAAACTATGTAGAATTAAAATATACCTTGTTTATACCGACATATAAAGCGCTTTAACCCACTTCGCCGCGATTCAAAACGTATGCATAAACCAAATTTCAACACGCTCAGAAATTCAAAAGTGTATTGACTCGAATTTGTTTTCAAATCGGTTTTTTTTTTTTGTTAAAGCTTAAGGGCCAGTTTTTCAGGGTACGGTGAAAACTGCCCGTGGTTTAAACTAAGTTTAAACTCTAAGGGCCGGTTGTTCGGTTGTCTGGTTAGCACAAATCGGAGGTGGAAGTTCGAATTAAATACAACGACTGCTTTATCGATCACATGTTATATGCAATTTAGGGCTCACAGATTTCCTGCAAGACGGCTCAACTTCAAAATCCAAGCTTTCATGGTTTGATCCTTCAAAGCTTCTTTGGTTGTTATGTATACATACATACGTGCCTTTTTTAGTCGCGTTTATGGGTTTCAATACTCGATGCATAGTAAATCCATGTTGCATCATTATCACATTATGAGTAGGAATGTGTGTGTTAATATGTATTTATTCACAAAGAAGCCAAGCACCTGAATGGAGGTGAATGACACTTGACGACATCATTTTACCGCTCTCAAGTGACGGTGTGGCTGCTGACGTTCGACACTCCAGGAGACTTGTCTATGAAAATTCAGGACAACAACACGTTCATAGTAGTTGGGTGTGAAGCGATTGTGAGAACAGCATTGAAATAAATCACGCACAACAATGGCAACTGCAAACAAGTGTACATGCAGTTGTCTACGTATGCATTTATGTGCGTTTGCCAGGTATGTGTGTAGAACTAATGGTCCTTGTAAATCCTTTGCCTGTCAAAACACCGCGAAGTATCCCTCTTTTCTCTCCTATCAAATACGTTTGTTTGTTAATTTTCCGAGTGCACCCCCCTGGCCGTTTTTGCGTTACTTGACACTTAGCTTGGCACTAATTTCTGCACTGCAACAATACTTTATATAACTGTTAATTTTTTCTGTACAAAAGATTAATGAAAATGTATACATGTGTATGTAAACTGCAAGCATCTGAAAGGATTGATTCGCAATTAGTTCTTCGCGCAGATATTTTACTACTGCCGTTTGCTCCGTTATTATTTGCAGTAGGCCCGTGTGAAATATTATGTACATACGTCCGCAATAGACAGTTACATTCCAAATGATATCACAATGAGTACCCTTCTTTCTTTAACTACTTTTAAACAGTTAAGTCGTTGCAACGAGTTTAAAGGAGGCGGTGTGGGAACGCGAGTGAACTACTTTTTCAAACAGATTTAAGAAAGGAAAACGAAGTGTGTCAGTCCTTATTGTGAGAAATATAACGACTGATGGGCATACCATCGCCATATTCAATATTGAGTATGTGTGGTATGTAGATATATGCATGAATGTACTGTGTATATGTACATTACAGTGGCCATATCTGATCGATTTTCGAAAACCGTAAATAATCGCACGGCGTGTAGATGTGCAGTAACGCTTTGTTGAAAAGGGCTCACACCTGATAAATAATTAAATACAAACTATTTATAAGTTAAATCAATTATTACAATATGGGTATCGATCAAAATGGTTTCTTCATATAAGCACCTATTTAAGATAATAATAATGGTGAAATGAGTTTCTACAATATGAATATCAATCAAAATGAAAAAGTATTTTAAACTACATGTGGGAGAGTTGCCACTTGTTCTGAAAATTAAATTCAACTTTAATTAAGAGAATTAGTTAATTTAAATATATATCGTAATACGGGCGTCTGACAAAAAAGGATTAAAAAGGTTTTTGTTTGAAATTATTTTAAACAGGGTTGCCACCTGTTTACAATAGGTTAAACGAATACCACGATATGGATATCAATTAAAATGGCCTTGGAGGAGATTTATTTCTAAGTTGCTTGTAGGAGTGTTGTCACCCGTTTACAAAATCAAGTTCAAACTTAAATTAATGCAATTCGAACAATGAAATGTGTATCCTGATATGAGCGTCAGACGAAAGAGATTGTGGTTATTTAAAAGAGAGTTGCTAGCTCTTTACAAAATTAAGTTCATTGTAATGAATTACATACTTAAATATGGTTATCAATGGAAACTGCGTTGAAGATATTTTCTAAACTATATGTACGAGGGTTGCCACTTGTTCTAAATCTTATCTTGAATTAAGGGATTCAGATGATACAAATATGCATCACAAGATGGGTGTCAAACGTTTTAGTTTGAAAATAATTTGAAGAAGGTTGCCACCTGTTTACACATATGGCAGAGTTGCCACTCGTTGTAAAATTTAAATGCAACTTGAATTTAGGGAAGTAAATAATTTAAATATGTATATTTTGGTGTCACACAAAAAGATTTTAACAAGATTGTAGTTGAAAAATATTTTTTGTTTAAAATATTTTAAGTATTTAATATTGTGCCATCTTTAAAAAGCTGAACTTGTTTAAATTATACAGAGGTTACTGTATGAAATATTAAAATATGGGTGTCAAGGAGTATAAGGAAATATTTAGCTTAAACACTAAGAATATTAAAAAGGGCGGTCACCAATTTAAAAGATTGTTTTTGAATTTTCACATTTTGAGACCATAAAACAAAAACACAACTTTGGAAATACACTCCAAACGGCAAGAGTAAAACTTTGGCGTAAGTGAATAATTCCAACATAGCTTCCAGAAATTAAGAGCAAGAATAAATTTGGCCGGCTGACCCTTCTGTAGAAAAAGAAAAAGAGAAAAAACTGTTCGGTTCGCCTACGCAAATAGGAAACTGAAAATTTGATTGAGGCTGAAATTGATCAGGGTGCGCGGTGTATCAACTTGGAACTAAATTGCGACCCGATTAACTTGCTTTCTTATCTACAATTGCTAACTAAAGCTGTCTATGAGCTAAACTTCGAAAACTCAGAAGTTCTTCTCTTGAACTGCTTTTCAAATAACTGGTAAAGTAGAAAACTGAAAAAAAACTGTTCGCGGGAGAAATGAAGCTTTATGCTGGATCCTGGAAAAAAGCCCTTCAGTACTTCAAAGTTATAATTGAGGTCTGTTGTAAACCGCGAGGACTTTTTATGTGTTGCCGAGAGATACTTTGCTTTGTCCTCGTTCACCGCTAGACCAACCTCCTTAGCGCCTTTAAAATACTGCGCTGTGAACTACTGCGCTTAGTTTTGCGTGGATCATAAATTTAGATATGGCCTCGTAAAAGAAGAATTGAACCAAATTTATAAAGACCAACTTAGATACTACACTTTTTTAATTAAAAAGAATAATTGACAGTGGTCTATATAAACAAAATTTATCGGGGCGCATTATTTAAACAATTGAAGCCCAATTTAAAGCCAATTATAATCTAAATTCAAGAGTGTTGATTGTGTTTTAATTTTTTAATTTCAAAAACAGCAAAAAAATATGTATTTATATATGTATGTACATATGAAGTTCACATAAATATGTAACTATATACCTAGATATGTATATATATGTATGTATGTATTTATTATGTTTTTTTTTTGTCTGTAAAATATGATCCACGATGCCGTGCTCCGTCGATAGTTTAGTATGTATACCAATAAAATAGCACAACATTAACATACAAAAATTTATGGTGCCGCCTTTTCGATAGAAAACGCAATGTACAGAATAATGACCCAAAAAGAAATCAGTGAACGAAGAGGAGCTTAAACAGTTTAGGCGCCCAAAACTAGCCGGCCATTTTACACTTACTAAGATTTTGACTAGTTCAACAAAACGCTATGGTTGAAAACGACAAAATTAGAAATTACAAACAGCCGCCTATAAAACAAGTTCAATTCCACGCTGAGTTGGCTGTGATCAATATGTCGTATGTGTGTTTGTATAAAAATATCAATTCACGTGGTTTTGTGCGCCGCTTGAATGGCAGAAGCGGCTTGTAACCAACAACCAAACAAAGAAGACGACGTGTTGGCTCTTATAGAAATTTATTAGTCAAAAAAAGTCGAGATATTTACCAAAAGTCGCCACAACAGCAACAACAACTTACAAATATTAGTTCGAATGTAGTGACATCAACAACGCCGACAACTTTAAGTGGAGTAATACGATCGCTGTGGATAGGCAGGCATAGGCGGATTTAAAAGATGAAATTTATATCTAGCGCTTAGAGTTTTGTGTTTTTTTTCCCCCTCTATTTTTCAATATGGTCGTAGATGGCTTAAAGGCAAGTGTTTTTAGTGAAGGTGCGGAGATGGAAGTGCGCGAGTGTTATAATGAAGGTAATTTTAATGCTCCTTCGAGCAGAGACAAAAATACAGCTCAGTAAAAATGTATAGTTATCTATTAAAACTTTCGGTATTAGTTATTTTGCACAGTTAAGAGAAAAACGTTGGTAGGTCAAAATATGAAGAAATACCAAAGGATTTATAAAAGTTGGTTACCATTCCTTTTCATTTCGATTTGAAGAAAAAAAAGATTCGCCAAATTAATATCTTTAACCGACTTAAAAAAAAATCAGGAAGGTGTTCAATTCATTAGAGTATTTTTTGATGTATGTTACCGGATAGCTTTGGACTACGCGAACTGTTTTCGATTGTTCTTTTCGGTCGGTTGAGATTTTTGCTTAAAAATAATTTTTTCGTTTTAATTTTTAAAAAACCTTTTGAAACAAGAAAAGTGGAATATCAACATCAATTCTTAGCCACTTGCAATGTCAATGGTTAGTCATTAGTCATAAGTCATTAGTCAATACTCATTTACCTTTTTTAAACTCCTAAATATCTACGCCACTGGACCTAATTAAAAACTGTAAAGCTGTTTTTCCATCAAAATATCTGTTATCATTCACATAGCTTCTGATATGTGTACAAACATAAACAGACGTCAGCGTTGATCCGGATCAATTCGGGAATTAACTGTAGTTGATCCGGATTAAATCCGAGTTTAAGCTTTAAGTCTGTAAGTACAGGCTCAATGTAAAATAGCTAATGTTTTGCTCATTATTGTAATTAAAAGTTTTACATATAGCGAGGCGACTTATTTTAGAAATTTTAAACAAAAGGGGCAGAAGCAATGCCATAAATTAGTCGATAAAATAACAAAGAAGAGATTGAAAAATGGACAAATGGAATAAAATATAAACACATAACCCCAAAAGTTAGATACACATATATGTAAATATGCATATCGATGGTCCTCTGTAATAATGACACAACTTAAAATTTCATATATTTCAGTAAAGCCAATTAAAGATTTTGTGTTTTGTAATTTAGCAATAATATGTCTTGGAACGTAATTATTCCGGATTATTTGCAGTCGTTCTGTTAGGGAAATTTGTTAGCTTTTAAATTATAACTTTTCCTGAAGATTTGGTAAATTTTGGCCTGCAAAAATACGAAATAAGTAACAACTCGTAAGTAGTTAAACGAAAAAAATTCCATTTGTATTGCTGAACAACGGCATAAAACGAAAAGTGTCCTTATTTTCCATTAAAAAAATACTAAATGTCTTACTGAAACTATGAAATGAGCAACAGCATAAAATGAAAAGTGACGTAGTTTCACATAAAAGCATGACTTAGCTATCGAGAGTTTTTGACTTGTGCCAATATTTACGATAAATGTGAGACATGTGCCCACTGTTCAGTAGTAAGGATTGGCTACTTCGGTTTTGTGACAAATGTCAAAACTGCGCTTCTGCTGGATTGGTAACAACTAAAAGCCTGATTATGGCAACTTAACATAACTTAACGGAACGTAGAACTTAAAAATATGGCTATTTATAAACCTAATCCGCTATATAACTCAAAAACATGGATTTTTGAGTTGTGCCGTTATTGCAGAGGACCATAGATATATCCACACCAACGTACATTTTATTTTTCTTTATTTCTTTAATCAAAAAAGGCTTAACCCCACTTATTTATGAGTTGCTTATTTTTTTACCAAAAACCTTTATAAAAAAGTGAATAGCTGTATTTTCGACCAGAAACCTGTAACCTTTAAAAAAATAGACTTTTTAAAAAATTAAGAGTTTTTTATTTTATTGAACGTAAATAACAAAAAGGAATAGAATAATACAAACCGTTCAAATTATACTTAACTAAGCAAGAATAGGCTTTATAAAATGGAATATTTTAACCAAATTTTGTTCTCAGTTTCATTATTTCTTTGTTAATTTTTTTGAGCACTTGTTTCGCTACCCCAAATTTAATACACTTTTTTTACAGGATTTTTTTAGTTCTTGAAATACCAAAGAGTGCTGGAATTTTTAGTTTATTTATGATTTCTTCCAAAGAGATTTCTGCCCACATTTTCTACCATTTGCTTCAAATAGGGAAACGCTTAGCCCTTTTATCTTAAAATCCACTTACAACATACCGAAAGAGAAATTTTGGCTATTCGTTTAAATCGGAAATTTCGAAAAAACTGTAATTTTACTGGGGTGTAATTTAAGCCATTGTAAGCTTGTCTAAAAAAACTGTCCGAAAAAGCTTGCAAAAAAAATATGAACCGTCGCACAGTGTTCCGACTATATGGAGGCAGGTGGAAATTTCGCTGAAACTTGCCCTGTGCTGTAATTTTACTTAGGAATAGGGAATTATAAAATTTAGTAAAGATGTAGGTGGAAAAATTAAATATATTAGAAAATCCTAAATGTAAAATATGGCGAAGATGGGATCACTATAACGTTTACAACTCGCAAAAAATGTGGGCTCAGTTATTAAATGTGACGTTTTTTTTTTTAATTTTTGTTTTATACTTCCCAATCTCAGAAAACAAAGGTTTGCACAGGTGCAAATATTATCATTTTTCCCAATATTTGTTCAAAAATTCTTTTCGCGAAATTTACCGAAAATACGCTGAAAATCGAAAATAAAGAAAATCGAAAATTACATATATTTGTCAAGTCGCGCGGAAGGCCCTATTATATATTCGAAAACTACATGAAATTCTGAAAACATCCATCTAATTTTGAGACTAGACGAACCGGCACTCACACTTTTTTACTAATATTCTTTAGCATCTTTAACATGAGATTTTTGTTGCTGTTTATGAACTTTTTTCAAAGATTGGTTTTTAAGACATATTTAAATAACTCGACCAAAATTTTGCCGATAAGATATCACTAGAAAAGTATTTTCTCACCTTTTTTACTTATTTGCAAAAGATTTAATTCAAAGTATGAAATAGATACGTAATTCTAAGTTAAATTAAGATGTGTTGATATTTGAAAAATTAAAAATTTGGACGTGATTGAGTTTTTTTGCAAGTCTAAAACGGTGTAGTTCTGGCCCAGTAATTAAGGTTTTCTTAAACCAATACTTGAAATATTTGTATGATTAACTGTTGTGACGTCCGTCGGGACTTTTTCCAAAAAATTGTTTAAGAAACAATTTGTATTTATAAAAAACAAAATTTTTGGAGGTATTTTCAAATCGGTGCAGCTCACCTAAATCTTAATATTTTTTCCGAAATATTTGGGTGGACGTCTTCCAATAAAAACTGCAACTTTTTTGGTGATGCATTCTAATATATAAAAAAAAAGTTCATTTGATAAAGCGATCCTTCCGCTATAATATGGATATTTTTATTTACTTTATATAATTTTCTGTTACGAGATATAAAGATTTATATGGAGGGACCTCGAGAAAATTTCTCAAATTCAGATATTTGATATACTTCTCAAGTAGCACAAAAGTCAAAAGTGCAATAAAATATTTTTTGTGTATTTTTTGCATCGGCAATTTGAGAATTGAGGTCGGTTGTGTTTTTTGCTTATAAAAATAAAACCACCAATTTGGCCAAAATGGCAACGCTGATAGCAGTTCTACTTTTTGTATGTATAATAAATAGCTCATATTCAGACAGGTAGTGTATAATGTACACACAAAGAAGAAATATAGAAATAGGTACTTAAGAAACGAAAACTAGCAGTAACTAGCATGTAAACACCTGACCGATGTTTTCGCATTCGCATTTTATGTTTCGAAATTATTCACAAATACTTACGTTTGCACAACGCCGAAATCGGTTTGTCTCTAAACTATTTTGACACCCACCCTGCCCGAAACAACAACAACCAGAAAGGAAATAAAAGCAACTGTGCTTAACCTATCTGGTATTGGGACGACAGATGAATTCTTCACCGTGGAGAGTATAACGTCAAAATTATGTGTTTTTCGTAGTTAGTGTAATTTTTTACTTACATTTGTATGGCTTGGGTAAATGTGCCTATCTGTAAAGAAACAAAGCTACTGTGTGGTGTATTCAATATTAAGCTTTTGGTGAATTCTTTGGACCACTGTCAATTACTCAACGAATGTCGGCTGAATAATTTCAGTGGACTTTGTTAACGTTGTGCTATTTGGTAACCAAATGAAAAATGGAAAAAAATTTTCCGAAATCCGCAATAAAATTTGCGTTTTGTTAACGTTAGTCCTTAAACTACTACGCCACTTTCGAGAGATTTTTTTCCTTTTTAACGGAAAATCGTTTCGAACAAATATTTTTTTTTTTGATAAGTATTAAATTTCTGCAAAAACTAAATTTTGTACACCTTTCGAAGTTATACATATCTATATATCTACATATATTCGACCAATAAGACAAAATGTTTTAATTAAAAAAAATCAAAATGTTATATTTTCAGTTACAGAATTCCATTAAGACTTTTTTATAGTTTACTAACTGATACGCCTTTATTTGATTACCGGGGCGTGTGATGAGTCTAAGTCTTTCTTTTAAAATTTTAATAAAATAAAATGTAAAGTGTAAAAATAATAACAATGCATGTAAGTAGATAGTCATAAAAATTATTTGCATACTGGGGAATTATAAATGCTCTTCTCTATATTGTACTTACAAGCATACTTTGACTCAAAAATTAAATATAAAGATATAAAAAAACAAATATATAATACCTATCTCATTCATAATATTTTTTATGTTTTCGTATAGAAATCATTGCTTTAAACAGGTTTCTTGTTATTCATTACCACTATCTTAAAAATATAATATTGTTTTTAAACACCATTATATATAAGTAATTATCCATAAATATTTCACTTATCTCGGTACTAAATACTTGAATCGAAATCACGTTTTCCAATTAATTTACGTCACCAGAGACTCAATTACGTTTTATTAATAATGCCAATGGCTAATTAGTGCCTGCGAGCGACTTTTTTAAACGAATATCTACTTACTTCGATTATGCACACACACTTGGATACGAAAAAACGAGTATGTAAAATGATGAATTGATAAATTTTATAACTATGCAAGTTAGTTAATTTTAAAAACTTAAAGCTAAGTTAGAAAGATCAGCTGCAAACGAAATAAAAAGCATGCGCACATATTGTATGTATGTACATATGTATGTATCTAGATACTCGTCAGAGGTGTAACTATAGGGCGGCAGGGTTGGCAAAATGCCACGGGCCCCCGATCCGAGAGGGCCCCAGAAA